GTCACTAAATATGAGGAAATCCGTGCATGAGATGGACTGATACAGTGGCTGCAGCAATGGACTCAAACATGCCAATGATTGTGAGAATGGTGCAGGATCACGCAAGGTTTTGTTCTGTTATTCACCAAGAGTTGGAGCCAGCTTGACCACAACTAACAGCAACAATGAAGTTCCAACTGAGTCTCTTGCTCTTTTTTGTTTCTCTCACTGCATGCAGGACAGTGTATATCATGTAACAATAATAAACAATGATAACGGTAGTAATGACTGGTAGCGTAGTGCCTAAGGCACTTGACTGCTAACCAGAAGGCTGGCGGTTCAAACCCACCAGTCACTCCTCAGAAGGAAGGTTGGGCGATCTACTTCCGTAGTGATAGTATATCAGAAAACCCTCCTCGGAAACCCAAGGAGGGGTCGCTGTGAGTCGGGCCTGACTCGACGGCACGTAACAACAACAACAGCATGTGCCAAATACTATGGTAAGCAATGTACATGAATTCCAATTATTGCTATTTTACTGACGAGGAAATTAACATCCACCCAAACCAAACTCATTGCCGTCCAGTTGATTCCGACTCATAACGACCCTATAGGACAGAGCATAACTGCCCCATAGGGTTTCCAAGGCTGTAAATCTTTATAGAAGCATCTTTTTCCCATGGAGTGAACCACCAACCCTTCAGTTAGCAGTCAGCTCTTTAACCATTGTGTCACCAGAGCTCAGTGAAATTAACACAGAGAGAGGTTCAATAACCTGCTCAAAATAACACAGCTGACAAGTGGTTATAATGGAATTCATTGAATCAAATATTCAATTCAGTTCATTAGACTGTGAATTTGAGAGGAAAATGAACTTATGAGTTTTCACCAGAAAAGATGGACATAGACAAAAACATGAGTTGCTTGTTCATCTCAGTTCATCAGAACATTCCAGTAACCAGAATAACCCCATAACTGGGACATTCTGCTAAATTAGGGATTCACTTTAAAATAGTACTATACAATATTTCTGGATAAAAATTAAGCAAGTTAAACCACTGAATATTAACCAAGGATTTCTCATTTGTTCTTGTAGGTACACCAATTAAATGGATTATGATTCTTCTTCTTCCACTACTTTTAACTCATACACCCATCCATTTATTCTGTCTTAGAATATAAGGCTACATATAACACCTAAGATGGATATAATACAATAAGAAAAGAAAAATGAAATAGTTTAGGGGGAGGGTTCAATTTAACAGAGGATTAAGCTGTTCTTTTTCAAAGAAAGCAATCTCCCTTTATCTGGGTGAGTGGTAAGCCATGCGTGAACACAAATATCATTGGAATCTGGAAGTCTCACACTTTAAAAAGCAAGATAAGATCAAAGCATGAACATGGCCAGCATCTCTGCTCATTTGAATCCAATGTTTTCAAGGTGTGCCTACTTTGGTTTTTCAGTTTAGTGGTATGATTTATCTGATAATAGATATAAAAGTACTTCATGGAGTGTTTAGTTCAATTTCACAAACCTGCATTCAGAGGGGGTCTTGTTCCTTGATTTTTAAAGCAGAAGAAGAAAGAGGAGAAAGAGGCCTGAGGGCATCAACTGACACAGTTCCATATTTAACTTGCCTGCATGGCCCTAAAAGAAATGGCAAATGAGCAGAGTATCTTTTAATATCAGCACAGCAAAAGCTTTGAACTCTAGATATTGTAAATAAAGAACACCAGGAAACTGAAGTCAAGCAATGCAGGGCAGAGGGTTGAATCTTCCTTGTTTCTGTACTTAGCCCTTTTTCCCTTCTCTCCTCTTTCACACACGAGATGCCCTTCAATAGTAGTTCAGTTGTGTTTGGAATCTGTGACACTATGAGCCATCAGCTGTGCTTCAAGATCTGGGTTGTTGGCCAAGTTGTGGAGCTACCTTGTGGAGCTACCTCATTCTCGGCCCCTCTCACATGCTGAAGATGCTCTTCTCCACACTCAGCATTAGTCTCTAGGATGTCAGCTAACATGTCTTTCCCTAGGAGCCTGGTATGAGGCAAAGCACTCAAATGCTCCATGCGAGCCATGTGCTGGGTGCTGTACTATTGCCTGGTCACACTCTCTTTCTTTTATACACACACACAGGTACAGGTCCCTGCATGGGCACACACATGCACACACACACAGAATAATTAGCTTGAATATATTCTAGAATGGTCATATCACTTCACTTCATCCTGTGCTTATTTTGGTCATCAGAACATGCTCACAAGCCTCAACCACATTTCTACCTCTCAGCAAACACAACTCTGCAGCTGTTCCCAGTGAGGGCAAATGAAATACAGTTGTCCATTTATGGCATTGTCTTTCCAATGTGTGATACAAATGGTTAAGCACTTGACTCCTAGCCAAAAGGTTGGGGCTTGAACTCACAGAGGCAGCTCGGAAGACAGGCCTGGCAATCTGCTTCAGAAAACTACCTTGAAAACTCTGTGGAGTAGTTGTACTCTGATACACGTGGGGTTGCCATGACTCAGAATTGACTCGCTAGCATCTAACAACAACAACAACACAACAATGCAAGAGTTAGGGAAATTTTGCATACATATGGTGGCCTAATACCATCAAACACCATTCTATAAAAGTATGAACAAAATATCATCAGAGAAGAAATCCTGGTGACCCAGGTGTTAGAGAGACCAACAAACCCAGTGTCCCAGTAGAGTGCCAGAGATAACAAGTCTGTATTAACTAAAAAAGTATTCTGGAAGAAAAAAATAATAATATGCAGCTCTTACGATCCCTAGGTGGTTCACTCACCCAGCAATACCAAAAAAGAAAAGGGCTGATGATATGCTTCCATTAAGATTAAAAATAAACAAACAAATCCATTGCTGTCTAGTTCATTCTGACTCATAGTGATCTTATAGGGCAGAATAGAACTGCCTCACTGCCAACTTTTTGGTTAACAGCCAAGCTCTTTAACTAACCACTGCACCAGCCAAGACAACTCTAGAGAACAGTTTTACTCTGTAATACAGGGGTTGCCATGAATCAGAATTTACCCAATGGCAATTAACAACAACATGCAGTTCTTATTTTGAGCCTATAAATCTTTTCAAAACATATTGGTGATTAAAAACGTTGTTTTGGTCTCGCAATGTCTTAAACGATTATTGGTATAATTGGAAAGCAGCTACAAATTCAAATGTATACAAATTATGAGGGCCCCTCTTCCATTTTCCATTTTCTCACTGCCCCCCCCCCCGCATTTCTCCCACCCAGAACCCTGCCACAGTGATCTTCATGACAGTCATGCCCCTTCCCAAGCCACTGCAAGGTGTCAGATTGTGAAGAGGAGTAGTGAATGGAAGCCAAAAGTCCCAAACTCATAACACACAACTAATTTAAAAATGGTTCCTTGTCTGACCTGGGTGAGGCTTCCACAGGAGCCTGCCTCTGGCAGGCTGCACCCAGGAAACTGGGCAAGAGGACCATCATGCCAATCAGAGGTGTGAGGATGGGGGTTTTCTCTTAGGAAGTAAAAGTGCATGTCTACCAGCCATGGGACAGGCAGACCAACCACTGTTGTAAAGTTAGCTTTTATAGAAAATGGATGCAAAAATGTACAGCATGGTGCAACAAAAGTCAAGCAGTAGGTTTTCCACTGAAAGCTTTGTCATTAGAAATTTCCCTCCATCCCCATCCCACATCGCATCATTTCTCTAACTCAATTCAGCACTTAGACCTTGATCTGTGACCAACTGTTTTTTAATAGAAGATATCTAATAGTGTGGCCCGTTTTTTTCCATTTAACATTATGTCATACATCTTTCCTTAAATTGCAGAAAAGGAGATTTTCCATGATCAATTGGCATTAGTCTTCACATGTCTGATGTTACTTCGGAGGAAACTCTCAGAGGCCATCTAGCTTCTGGAAAATTAGATTCAGAATTTCCGCAGCAAACCAGTTACACTTTCAACAGTTAAAATCAGTAGAATTAGCGTTAGAATGCTGTCACTTAAAAAACAACACAAAATGGATAAAACACTTACCACTAACCATATATTGCTGGGCTAGCATATGTTGCTGCTGTTTGTGTGCCGTTGGGTGGATTCCAACTCATAATGACTCTGTAACAAAGTAGAACTGCCCCATAGGGTTTCCTAAGCTGTCATTTTTATGGGAGCTGATCGCCAGGTCTTTTCTCCCGCGGAACCACTTCTACTGCTATTTTGGTTAGTAACAGAGCTCTTAACTATCGCGCCACCAGGTCTCCTTGGGCTAGCATATTATGAGATTAATTTAAGGGTCTTGGCAAGGAGTTACCATTTCCTTTCTGTGGAGCACATTGGTGGAGACTACAAACTTACGATATGCGTGGTTTTGGATAAATGTAGTTTTTCTCTGGGCTGCAAACTTCACTGGAGTGTATCAAATCATTAACACAGAACTTGTGCCCTGCGGGAGGAAGATGAGACAATCTACTTCCATAAAGATTTACAGCCTTGGATACCCAATAGGGGTCGCTTTGAGTCGGAATCGACTACGTGGCAGTGAGTTTTAACATATATATTCACTAGAATCATAAGCACAATTATCAGTGCTGTTAATACGGCCGCCTTGGGAAATATATCCAGTGGCCTGTGGCCCACTGTCATTCCTTTCAGTTATTTCAAGTTCGAGGCTGAGAAAGGACATGATTTCCTGTCCAGCTTCCCAAAAAATGCCAAACTCACTGCCATGGAGTGGATTCGATTCATAGCGACCCCTTCTTGGGTTTCCCAGGAGCGGTATCGCTACAGAAGTAGATTGCCCAATCTTCCTTCCATGGAGTGGCTTGGTGGGTTAGAACCGCCAGCCTTCTAGTTAGCCGTCAAATGCCTTAGGCACCACGCCACCAGAGCTCCTGTCCAGCTTAGACCTGAGGAACTTCATGGGGAACCATGGTGTGGACTGAACTGGTTGTCCTACCGGCTTATTTACAATGATACACACACGGTTACGGGTTACCGGCGGCCCAGTACAGGGAATGATTTTGCCAACGTACCCAGAACTGTTTCCACGGTTTCGCCAGATTTGGGAGGTTGCGTGGCGGCGGCTTTTGGGAGCTGAGGCAACTGAGATCTTCCCAGGCTGGTGTGAGCTCCTACTTGTCCCACGATTTCAGGAATCTAGTGGCCGCAATGGCCCCGGTGTCGGGCTCGCGTACCCCTGAGGGCGTGGCCTCAAGCTCCGGGGGGAAGCGTCGCAGTCTGTCGAGGAGTCCCAAACCCAGCAGAGCCGTCCGCTCCCCGCGAGGCCACCACTCTCGCTCGCACTCTTGCTCTCGCTCCGGGGACCGGAATGGCCTCAGCCATCAGCTGGGGAGCCTCAGCCAAAGCTCCCGAAACCAGCCCTACCGCTCCCGCTCGCGGTCTCGCTCCCGAGAGCAGCCCTCTGGGCCCCGGGGCACCCCCTTTGCGTCTGGCTCCTCGTCCACCTATTACGGGGGCTACTCGCGCCCCTATGGGGGCGACAAGCCGTGGCCTAGCCTCCTGGACAAGGAGAGGGAGGAGAGCCTGCGGCAGAAGTGAGTGAGATGTACGCGCCTTCTGTTTCAAGAGCCCCTTTGTCTTCAAAACCCGCTTCATCTGTCTTCTCACTCTGATACCCCCTGCTTGCTTTGTGCCCATTTTTCTCTGTTTCTTCAAGCCACCCACGACAACCTCTTCTTCGCCCTTTACTTCCTTTATATTCTCACTTATCCTCGGGCCTCTTCATACAGTGTCCTGATCTCCCTGCACCCCCTTCTGCCTCCCAGCTTGTAGGGGATACATCTAAGCGGCAAGGATTACTGCAGTAATGTAGCATTGACTTGCCTTCTGTCAATATCATTCGTGAGCATGCTTTTGTTCCCCCACTACACCGAGCTCATGGAAAGGAGGTGCCCTATTTTAGTCATCTCAGAATTCGTAGTGCTTGGCACTAAATAGGCGCCCAACCATTGCTTATTGAATGAATGGACAAACGTGTCAGGTTTGAGATGGTAACAGGCTATGCAAGTGAAAATCCTTTGTAGGGAGTTGGGAAGGTTTGAGATTAAGGGTTTAAATTATGGGTGTATTGGACAGGCGAAAAGCCTTCCTCTGAGACAAGGTGATTGGATGAATGTAGGAAAAAAGTGATTTGCTAAACTGTAGGTGAGGCTACCTGGAGACAGTTCTTTTCAATGGTCTCATCCATGAGTGGTGAAGAATGAGGCAAAGGTGACATCAAGTCTCGTTACTGAGAGTGACTATTGGCGTGGGAAAATATTTTAAGGGGAAAGAAAAAGGGTTATAACTATCACTGTGTAAGTCAATAATACCACGTTTATTGAGTTAAATTATATGTCAGGCACTGTACTAAGTGCTTTACCTGCACTGTGTGTTTAAAAAAAGAGAGAGAGCAGTTGAAAAGCATTTCAAGTATTGAGGGGTAGGTTAGAGATGTCTGACAATTAGGAGATGTCTTCATAATTCTTTTTCTTCTAGCAGTAGGAGGTAATAAAAGCAGTGGGAGTGATGAAGAGGACAGGCTCCAGAATCAGACTGCCTGAGTTTGAAGCCCTGCTTTACCACTTAATAGCTGAGTGACCTTGGCCAAGTCACTTAACCTCTCTTAGCTTCATTTCTTCACCTTTAAAAAGAGGATAAAAATAGTACCAGGACTTTTGTTGTTGTTGTTGTTGTTGTTATGTGCGGTTGAGTCGGCCCGGACTCATAGCGACCCCTCCTTGGGTTTCCAAGGCAGTATCACTACAGAAGTAGGATTGCCCAACCTTCGGTGGTTTTAATTGTTTGGGGCTTGGAGCATAATAATTATTCCATAAGTGTTAGTTATTCATGTTTCATTCCTGGGAGCAGAAACAGTAAAAACAACCCTGAAGTTGGGTTGGACATACACATTTTCAACTTAAGTTTTTCAGAACAATTCCCCACACACACACAGTATATATCATTCAGAATGCAAATGCCTTTGTATTGAAAACTTCTCACCAAAAGAAGAACTGCTTGGATGAAATTTGTCTTTGTGCGTGTAGGAGATAAATAATTTACATTAAGAGCACAGATGAAGCCAGGTAGTAGCAGGGATGAGTACAGGATGTCTGGCAGTCATCGTTCCCTCTATATACCTATATTCCAAGTACAGTTATAAATATGAGTCTTTTTAGATTATTTCTTGAAGTAGGAGATTCCTTCTGAATCTGACTGCATTGCTATAATACATTTTTCCCTGAATAAAGAAGTAAAGAAAATAATGTATTCAAACAATCAAATCAATTCTGCTTATTTTGTAAGGATGTTCTAAATCAGATGGAGCCATAGCAGCTAATCTTTGAAGAAGTGAGCCTTGTCGTCCTCCCCCCCCCCCCCCCCCCGGGTTTATGAATAGCAGCAAAAATTAAAACAGAAGAAACCACAAACATAAAACAAAATACTATATGGATTTGGTTTTGGTTTGTCTTTTATCAATTGAATCTCAAGTGCAGGTGGTGTGAATCAGTTCATTGTATGTTGTCACTATTGGTTTGTACAAGACCCTTTCTTATGTTAATTCATTTGTTTATTTCATTTTACCCTGGTATCCCATACTCATTCACTTCTGCCTATAAATAACCAATCTATTGGATTTATTGCATAGCTTTTCCTTTGTATATATTCTTCTGAAATGTGTATTGTGGTTTTTTATGTATGTATGCTTTCAATTTATATGATGACATGGTGTCATGTTATATTTCATCCTGACTATAATTTTTTCCCTAACTGTTCTAACTGAAGCACTATATTTTTTAAGATCCATCCATATTGCTTTGGATTTATTTAATCTATTTTCTTCCAGTTGAAGCACAATACTCCATGATGTACACCCACCATAGTTACACATTCTCATTCCCAGCAATGGACACTCAGGCTGCATGGGTATCAGACTTCCTACTGCCACAAGTAAAGTTGCAATTGTGACCTCACCCATGTCTCCTTTATAAACTGTGTGAGGATTGCTTTGGGGTGTATAGAGAAGAGTGGAATTGCTGCTTTATAAGATATACACAGACTTTATTTGCCAGCATAGTACCAGATGTCAGCACTATTATCATCCCCATTTTATAGGTGAGGACACTGAGGCTTTAAGAGGTTTAATAGCTTACCCAAAGTCACACAAATAGTAGTTAGCACAGCTAGGATTCAAATTTGGGCAGTCCTGTTCCAAAATTTGTACTCTTAATGGCTACACCATCATTTCTATCTGAATATTTGAGACCTGAGAACATTTTAATAAAAATCATAAAGATAAAAAAAAATAATTTTTTCGTGTCTTCCAAAGAGTAAATAGAAAATGTACTTCTTTTCCAAAAGGGAGCTAAATGGAAAACAGAGGGAACAAATCCTGTATTTTATTGAGCACAGCTTTTCACACAAAACTGTCTTTATGTTTTCAGAGCTCCTTCATTTTCTGCCCCTAATGCTTCATTTTTGTTTTCATTAATTCTTGGGTTTCTGAAAATGGAATGTTTGACCAAATTGAAAGAAATTTCTCCTTTTATCAGTATGTATAAACGAAGTTATTTCCAAATGGAAGCCAATTTCTGTCACGTGTTGCAGAAGATGAGATGGGCAGTTAGGAGCTATGTCTTGCGTGGGGCAGAAGGGATACTCTTGACAGTCTCCCACACTGCGTTTCTGGTCTGGCTTCTCAGGCTGTCTGGCATCCGTACCATTTGATAGTGCTATTGAACTGTCAGGTCGTAAGTGTTATATTTACATTCCCACCAAATTGTTATTAGTTTAAAGTTTAAAAAGTAAAGTGAAAATAGAACTTAACTGGGTTCCTGTTTAATTTATATATT